ACTACCACTACTACTAGTGCTGCTACTCCTCCTCCTGCTGTTGCGGTTTCCTTGCACTGCAGTTAGACTACTATCTGGGCTGACAAGATGTCCCAACTGGGACAGTCCATCACATCAGTTATACGTATTGTACACATGTTTATGTATATACATAAAACACGTGTCAAATACAACAACAAACCCTATAAACCCTAAACAAAAACTTTCGTGGCCAGGCCGCAGGTGATGCTCCGGGGGAGGCCAAGAGCTGGACACGGATGTCCCGCCTCGGCGGACGCGTTTCGCGGTTTTCTTTTGCCTCCCGCCTGGCTAGGACGACCTACGAATCTGGGTCTGATACAAGACTGCGCATTGTCATGCACGCTCCACTTGCGAGGGCTTAGGCATTACAGCTTCGGGAATGAACTTCCGCTGGCCTCCCCAGAATCTGCAGGGTGTCGACTACAGTAAGGGAGAGTTTAATTTGTTGACGCTCACGCATGGACTGCAGACAAACTCGGCACATAAAGGTAACTGGCAAACTGCGGCGGGGAACTAAGGGAGGGTTTAGGGTTTGTAAGAGCTCTTGGGCATGCAACGAATGCCTCAGTTTCGAAAGCGCATCGCAAACCAAGACAATCACTGCAGCAGCGCGTAATGAGTTTGAGGCCAAGGATCCATGGAAGGAAAACTGGAACTGGTGCATCAGGATTGCTTTGCATTCCTGTCCCTTATCATGGTTCTGACTAACCTGCTACATTGCAGTTAATCAGGCACCGACGCATCGGCAATAACGTGAGCCGCAGTCAAAACCAAGTCCCCTTCAAAGTCCTCCACTGCCTGGTGAATGAAGATGCAGACTGCCAAGTTTCCGGGGTTCCGAAGATCTGCTACAGGGCTTAGGTTGTTTTGGCTAACACCTCTGTTCGTCCCTACAGGGTACCGCAGACCAGAACAGCTTAACATAAGCAGATACTGATACGGAAGAACTCAAATCTCAAGGCATGCGGTCAAAGCGGCAACAACGCAACCACAACCTTTGCAGTGCTCGGACGGCTACCCGGGACGCTTGGCTCATTGTTTGGTATTCTTTTTCAACCGCAAGGAGCTGTTGCGGCCCTTGGGGATTGAAAGGCGCAGTCTCCAAATAGAGCAATGGCAGTCGCAGCGCCGCTTGGTGAACTCACGAAAAGCTCTGCAAGCCGACTATGTATATTGAACTCCAAAACCCTTGACAGTACTTGTGAGCAGCATCGGAACCCAACTTTCCCGTCATGGATCCTGGCTTCGTTCTTATTCGGTTTCGAAGGGATTGAAGGTCTAGATCGAAACCGGAAAACAACATCCCATATCGGCACATTACACGAGCCGCAGAAACACGAATCAAGGAATAGGTCCTCGCGCTTGCAACCATGCTTCTGAAAGGAGTCTACAAGCAAAGTGTAATGCCAAACTTTCTGAGGCTCCCAGGAAAAACCGGCCCTCCCGTCCCTGGCGAGGAAGCACTACCTGCTCCACGTCTGTAAAGTGCAAGTACGGCGGCCTGGAGCACATGTTCCGAGGGCTCTCGGCTGTGCAATCGGCTTCCAATCTGCTACACAGTGACCCAAACCCCCCAGGTACCTACTATATAGGGTACTAGAGCCCCTAGGGCCCTATATAGTAGGTATCTGGAGGGTTTGGGTGATAGCTTGCATATTGGAATAGGAGCCTATGTCAATATGCTGCTTCCTCGTTACTCCGCTGATATACCTATCTGCACTGCAAATCTACGTGGGCATAGTCTGCAGTCGCTTCACAAACTCTTGCTTCGATACATGAACCTGCAGGCACAAGACATTATGTTGGCCCATCTGCACCACCATCCGCGTAAATGATGGCATGCTCTTGATGCCAGCATGATAAGGTCCCCGCTCGAGAGGATCCGGTTCCTCCAGCAGACCACTCAAGTGGTTGACCTGAAAGCGTATGACTCGGGATGTACACGTCTTGATCCCCAACAAACCAAGCAATGACAGGGTCTTCGGGAAGAAAAACCGTTACATCTGCGTGACAGAAGCCAAGGACGTCATCTTGACATGTCCAGCACCTTTGACATCGACGTGAGAGGGTGACTTCTGGGTCACCACCCAACTGATGCTATTTTGCTCGACTAGTAAGCAGTCGGCTAGGAGCTGGGCCAAGATTGACAATCCAATCTTAAAGGTGGGTCGTCACAAGACTGTCAAAAAAGTGGCGCCAATCTCCGCATGCAAAGCTGCAGGCCGTGAACCAAGAGCCAGGCCAGACCACGCCGACGCATGATGAATGTTCCACTTCCGCTAGTGGACTCCACCTGCAACACGGCTCAACCTCTCCTGCCCTGAAGCATTGGTCAGAATGCGCATGACTTCAAGATCGTGTGGGCATGGGCATAACCATAGAGGACATCGGGAAAGCCATTTGGCGAAGCCCGAAGGAGAAGTTCCTAACAGAATCCAACCTGGCCCCAAGTAAAATGCCTTCATGTCTTTTCAGGCCATCCCTGAATCGCTCGCTAGCCTCAAATTTCCTTGAGCTGTTGCCTTTCGAAAAAAATTCTGGCAACCTCATAACCCTGGCCTGCAACAAACTGCTGAAGCAAACAATGCCTGCACAATTCCCCCTGCCCCACGAGCAAAGTGAAGAATTCAGGGCAGGCCTGCTGCGTCCTGACAATCATTGGCATGAAACAAAAGCTTGATGGACGAGTCAGTCACTACTAATGTAAAGTGGCTGTACATCTGCAACCGACGACTGCTGCTGGCCGTTGCAGTAGCTTTTGCATGCCAGAAGGCGGCAGTAGCGAGACAAGTCAATGGCAGCACTGTGGCAGTGTACTGGCTGCTCATAGTGCTGTCATTCGTAGTGGTAGGAGTAGGCACGGCAGTTGGCACTTCAGCAGCAAGTGTTGGTCGGGTCGTGGTGGTGGTCATTGTTTTTGCTAGTTAGCGCATTCTAGTTGTTAGCTGTCGTTGGTGATAGCAGTTTGCAGCGCTGCCCACAGTTGGTGTAGCTAAGAACAGCTTGCAAGAGTTGGCGGACTAGCGTTCGTTGTAGCAGCCGGCCGGCACCAACAAAAAAGGAAGCTCGCCGAATAAGAAGACTAATTGCTTAGATACATGCTGCGAAGTCCTTCTGTATACGATGCGTCCCAGAGAGAGAGAGAGAGAGAGAGAGGAAAACACACACACACACACAAAAGCAAACAAAACAAAAACAAAAAAAAACAATCGTCCAACGAACCCCCATGAGAACCCCCTTTCCAGGTAATAGTCTCCCAACACAATTCGGAACTTCAGTCCCCGGCTCTTCTGGTTGAGGATTTAGGGTTGCAGGGCCCCCCGGGTCCCAAGGTTTAAGCTTTCAGGGTCTAGGGTGTAAAAGCTTAGGGTTTATGCTTCAAGGGTTTGAGGTGTACGAACTTACGATTTATGCTGAGATCTCTGGTTTCCACCTAGCAGCTCGATTAGCTCTGCTTGCCTGTTGCGAAATAAGGTATGGACGTGTCGCTCACCCAACATTTATCACGCATTCGATGATGAGGTCGACCCCCAGACTCCAAGCCAGCCAGCAAAACCCTAGGCCCTAGGCCCTCAACCTAAAACCGCTCGTGAATCCTCTGTGTCGAAGGGTCTTGAGAGCTCCAACGTGGTGGTTTCAATACCCAGGGAGATGCTGCACAGCTATAACTCTAAGTAGCCCTAACCTTAAAGCCCAAACTCACACATAAATCCTAGACCAAAACTCAAAACCTGCGAAGATCAGAATCGTATATAAACCCGAATCAAAAACTCCATCGCCCCTTTAAACCTGCAGGAACCCCAAAGACCTCACAGTTGGGCAAGTTTCGAGGACCCGAGCAGTGAGGCATGCAACTTACGTTGACTGACATGAGAACTGGAACCCAGACAGCCCAAGACCCCTTCATTAAGGAATACATACATAAAAACCATGGTCGCTTTATGCCCTCCATAAGTGAAGCTCCACTGAGCTCCCTGAGACTCTCGACTCCCTTCTGAAGCGGCCTCGTCGCCCGGGAGCTCCCTCTGCCCCAGAAGGTATGCCCTACCTATAGTCTCCATTGTAGTTCCTTTTTTGGGGTTACCTTATAGGATCCTTAATATAAAAATGGTGAAACCCAAAAAAAGGAACTAGAATGGAGACTATAGGTAAACCTCAAAGCCAGGCCGGGCACCGGACTGCCATGGCACGACCATCGCAGGCCTCTGGCGCGTCACAAAGATCTTGACAACCGCCGCACCCACCTGAGGGGTTTAGGGGTTTAGGGTTTAGGGGTTCTAGGGGTTCGAGAGGCTTTTATAAGTGAGGGCTTTGAACCCAAAGCCCGTGTGTATGGGGCCTTCCCCGGCTTTTTTGCCTCCTACTTAGCAAGGACAAGCCCGCATTGCAGCGTAATGTGCCGTCATTGTCTCTGCAGGTAGAGCCCATCTTAAGGCTGTACCAATTAAGTTGAAGAGCCTGTCACAGGACCTCCGGAAGGCCGGTTCGGGGCTCTGGGGTTTAGGATCCATTTCCAGACCATGCAATATCTAAATATATGGGTTAAATCCCTATTATTATATAATATAATAATATTAGGCTGGAATCTTGGAGTCAAACCCCTTTGTTGAACGAGGTCTCTCTGAAGTGCCTCCAAGCCACCCGCCAAATCGGAGTCAAACCCTAAACCCTAAACCTTTATCTTGGAAGGCATTGTCGGGTGTTCAAGCGAAGCCGAGCTGGCTTGTGCAAACTATCGGAGGATCAGATTATGTGGGTAGAGACGAGGCATGCAGTAGCCTTATCTTCACGTGCAGGTTTTCGGTGTACCTTTACCTTTCGGGTTCTAGGGTTTAGGAACCTGAAACCCTATAGAATCCTGATGCATCCTTATAGCCCCTTACGGGAGTCTTCCTAAAGCACGGCCTTGTGGCTATCCATTGCATCTGGCTCGACTTCAGGCACCAGCTCCTGCATAGCTTTGCCTACTGCAGATGCTTGACTAACTCGAAGAAGGTTTTTGTATGACTATCTTGGGACTACAAAGGGATAATGGTCTTGTCCATGAGGATTTCTGCTTGGCCGTCTATTTATTTCTCTTGTTGGGAGGTTCCAAACTCAATGACCCTACAAACGAAACCCTACACCCTGGCCCTAACCCCGAACCCCTACACAATTCTAGCCTCGATGTACCTTAAAGCCCTCCAGAAGTCTAGAGCTGAGAATTTGGCCGAAGTTTGTTTCTTACGGTTCCCTGTAATACTATAGTTATATTATAAATATGATATGACACATTACAACATACCCCACGGCCTTATTCGTGAATCTTTAAGTCAACCATATAAAACTGAACAGTTGTCGAAGCATGACGCAACGCATGAAAAGTGTAACTCCGATAATTGCAAAGACATGAACACTGTACACGTATGCATGTGTTATGCAACTGTACTGAAAGTCATGTATATATATATATATACACATACATGTTTGACTATACTATACGTGTAGACCAGACCTCCGCAAGACAACCTAGTCCAGGCTTTCCATGAAATCACGTTTCATGCTCGGGAAGCTCCGGGTTTTTCCTCTCGACCTGGTTAGTTCTTCATATCATTGTGAACCCTACAAAAAACGGTTTTGGTAGGCTATGGCAAGTATAAGGTCCATTTTCGGGTCTGCAGGGTGGCTCCGAAGGTTCCAATTGCTCCAACGGACTTTGGTGTATAGGATCGATCCCGGAGCTTTCCTAAACCCTTTTGCCTGACTCGTTCCAGGCTGCACTCGTGACAGCAGACCTAAACCCTTTTGAACTTAAACCCGAAGGCGGGAGTTTAGGGTCCCATCAGGATTATCCTTAAAGGTTCCTTCAGGGGCAGATTTTTGAGGCTTCTGAGAAAGGGTGTGATAACAAGTTGTAGTTTCCCTAACGAGCTCTACTTGCGTCTTTGTGGGTGGGGTTGGAGGTTTTTGGAGGTTGCTGGAGGTTCATGCTTTTAAGACATTGCGTGTGTAAGGCTACAGTCGGCCGCATCTTCAACGCATCCCCGACTACATGCCAACCTCTGTCAGCCGCTTGCAAATCATGGTCGGGAGACCGTCCAGTGACTAAATTCGTTCCCCACCACGCCGATCTCAGATATCACCCTTCGCCCGAAAGCAACCTATTTACAGGACCAGCCCAGTCGTTTCAACGCAATAGATTGTACTGTCCTTCTTGACAGCACTTCCTAGATAAGGTATGCCTACTTTTCAAGAAAGCGCCTGCAGCGGCTACCATGGAACCTGGAGGCTTTATGGGCTCTGGGGAACCCCGTCCTTGAATTCAGTATCTTCCGCAGGCACCTCAGCTTCCTCTGCAGGCACAGACACCTGGAGACCGTCGTGAAATCTTGGAAGTGAGCCCGGAACTGTCCGAGTAGCGTGCTTAGTTAGGCCTGACAGATGGATTCTCGGCTTCAGAGATTTCCGGCTCACAAGCACGATGCAGGGAGTTTGGGGTATCTTGCAGGATATATGTATTCAGAGCCCTGAAGGAATATTTGTGTATTCAGGCATTTGAAACCCCACAAAGTCCAGGCCGAAACTCGAAAGCCTGCTTTTTTGTTTCCTGGTAGGGCCGAAACCCACACTCTCTAGGGGCCTGAGTATTTGGCACAAGGTTTTGGGGTACAGTCTGGTAGAAAAAGTACACAAGGAACCCTGTAGGCCCTATAAGGAATGGCATGATGTTGTAATTATTTACGAGAGGCTGTTTTGGTCCGTTCTCCGACGAGGACGTTCTACACAACTTTGTCAGTCTTCTGGGCGCCGTGGCTTTTAGGCTTGGAGGCAGTTTAGGGGCCAAGGTCCGGCCACATTGTTGCGTAGCGGCCGTAAAATGGCATAGTCATCGCAATAGCATGATGCCCCGGATGATGCATGTTCGTGCGAAGGTAGGGGGGCCTGGGAGCAGAGTCAGAACTAATCTTTTGTACGAGGCCATCCGATCATGTCAAAAGCAATGGCTGTCTTTGCGATACATCCGAGCCTGAAACGAATTCAAGACGAACACTTCGGTTCTCTCACAGGCGGCCGGACGAAACCATCTTGAGAAGAGGGGCTTCGGGAAACGATAATTGAACGGCTTCACAGGCAACTCTTCGCAGGAACAACTCCTGATTTTATGGTGGTTTCCAGTGCCACCTGTTGCTAGAACTACTTTTGTTGGCTCTTAGCACGGTAGGTACTGGAAGCAATCTAGCCAAACCCCAGGCCCTGAACATTACTCCACACCGGATGAGGCTGGGCTCATGCAAGGCCTGGCTGTTCAGCTGCGGTGGGAGTGTCTCAACCTGCTGTGTGTCTGTTTAACATACCATGCTGCATTCCGAAAATCCAAGACTTATGTGTCTGCATATCTATATATATATATATATATATATACATATATATATATATATTAGTATATATATATATATATATATCCGTAACTACCTACGAGACAACGGCACGGAATCCAGTAGAAAAGACCGGCGGCTATCACAGCAGACCAAGACTAAGCAGGATTTCCTTCGGAATCCTCGGAAACTCTTCAGGTTGTTTAGGGTTTCAGCACTCACTCTCGGACATGCCTAGGCGTTTAGGGTTTAGGGTTCTATCTCTTTCGGTTCCGTTCTCGACTGGCCAGAAGGCTCGGAAGCCTAACCCTTCCCCGTAATAAATATTTATTGAACGGGAAGGGGGGGCCCCCAATAGAAACTCGAAGCGTGGTTTTCGGACAAGGGGTGTTTTCTCTCCACGTTTTAGGCATCTTGCTCTTGCTCCTGAACCCCCGCTAATCCAGGTTATCCGAACCGGCTTTTCACTGGTAGAGTTTATTAATACCCTGGCAGCGCGCATTTGCGAGCTTCGTAAGAGTAGCAGGGGGAAGTGGTTACCAGTCCATGGCTGAGGCTCAGGAGGATGCACTGTGAGGGTTTCGGATTCAGCAGTGTAGAGCTTAGGATTTAGAACTTTGGGAGTTCGGAGTTTAGCGATTTAGAGTTCAGGAGTGTAGGGCCATAGGCACAGGGCTGATGCTTTGGATGTTCTGCAGCCATATACTGTGACGTGCCTGAACCCCCATCTCGTCGTCACTGGCCTGGGCACAACAGAGCTACAGAGTAATTCCCGCTGACACCAGGTCCTGAGCACGATCCGGTTATCAGCGATAGCATAGCAGTATGCACATTCCACGCGATTTGTTAAAAAATGCCGTGAAACAACCGACAGAGCCGAAACAAACATAGCATTGTAGCAAGCGACGAGATTGGAGACAAGAGGGCCTTCCGAACTTGGCCGCGTCTGGCATGTTTTGGGTTCTGAGAATGACGATTCTTCTTGAATTCTATGCCAACCAAACAGAACACTTGTCGATTCAAGCCTTGCATGCGTGCCACCGCATGGAACACGGCCGGTGTGAAGCATAAGCACGATAATATGGAGCGTGGGAGTCATGCGGGCATGTGAAACATCTGCCCATTAGCCTCGTGCCTGCCCCGAACGAATGCAAGTATCCACGAGTGCCCACGCAGTCAGCCTGCGAAAGTTGTGGCTAGAAGCTCCCATAAGCGTTTCCATGAGTCATTGCCAACAAGGAAGTGCTGGCTCTTCGACACGACCCGAATTTGATGCGTCGTAGAGGAATGCGGAGATGCCAGTAGAAACCTCAGAAAGGCTTTGTGGCAGCTGCCGGTCCAAAGAAGCTTGCAACCGCTGCTTCGTTTTTATTCACGCCGCTGTCAGAAGCTCTCCAGTGGGATCTCGTAACAGAGATGAGGAAAGGCACGGCACATATAGAAACCGACGGCTTCTGGCTTCCTGCTACAGCTTGAAACGCATCGTCTTTAGGATGTGCCAAACAAAGCTTCAGACACATCAATGGGGCTTCTTGCTGCATATCTGAAAGCCAGCCGTGATTTTGAAACCAAGTTTAGGACACAACTTCTACAAGCTCCGGCGCATTCTGCGGAGACGGTTCGCAGACAATGCTAGCCGCATGCTCGGCTGCCTGGCTGAGGCGGGGGCAACTTGCAAAAGCTCGGACATCAACCCGAAACCCAAGCCGCAAAGTTTACCGGAAAGTTCACTCAAAAACCCAAAATCCTGAAGTTTACCGGAAAGTTTACTCAAAAACCCCAAATCCTGAAGTTTACCGGAAAGTTTGCCCAAAAACCCAAAATCCTGAACCCTCAACCCAAAAGTTCGGCATCTCTGCAGACAGAATGGCCGGACGCGGCTCCTTCCCTCTGCCTTTTGCAGAAACCCGGTGAATTCCAGTCTTTCAACACCAAAACCCTAATGTAGATACTCAGGCTCTTGTAGTGCCTTAATGCTCTAGAGTTGAGAACATGACGAACAAGCTTTTTTGCAACTGTTCTGTGACATCACGCCCGGACAGCATGAATGCAAAGGCTGCAGCAGACCGCCTGAGCCCCAAACCCTAGACGCCGGGCCTTGACTCTAACATGCCACTTGACCCCCAACCTCTTCAGATCCCATGCTTTTGTCATCCACTAAAGGCCATCACCCTATCTATGCTTGAAATATGAAGGAGACAAATGCTTTGGGTGTATATAGCTTATGGTTTAGGGTTGGCGATTTGTTTTCAGTGTCTGTAAAAGCGATTGGGGACCGAAGGTAGACATCGACAAGCTACAAAGGAGCCGGGGCTTTGGGGTTTAGCGCATGCAGGCCGAACTCTCCGAAGTTCCCTATGGGCTCTACCTTAAGCTACCAAAACCTACTTTTTTGTAGGGTCCCTATAAATTCTATATTAGGGTATATAATAAGGACCTACAAAAGAGTAGGTTATGGTAGTTCAAGGTAGACCCTAAGCCAACAGGAAACTGACACCTCCTCGGGGAATGTCTCTTCGCGGAAAGACTGCTCTGCTTGCGCATCCTGCAGAACGGATCGGATTTGCGCAGTCAACATGCAACAGTCGGGTTCGCCCTCATCGGAGAAGTGAATCATGACGGATGCAGGTTTACACTTCACAGAAAAGCAGACACGTTTGCAAGGAAGATCAAAAAGACGCTCTCCTCCTCTCGCCCCAACTCAATCTCACTTTCACTCTCGCTCTCTCTCTCTCTCTCTCTGCCTCTCTCCACCGGTTGATGGAAGGGGTAGCCGAAGGGTTTAAAGAAGGGTGTGTAAAAGGTTGAAAAGTTTATGGGAAGGTTTGCAGAAGGATTTCTAGCTGGGTTTATGGAAGGCTTTGCGGAAGGGCTTACAGAGGGGTATAACTAGACGGGCTGAGAGGGGGGTTCTTGATAGAAGGGCTGCGTGGATGGATGGATGGATGGATGGATGGATGGATGGATGGATGGATGGATGGATGGATGGATGGGTGGATGGATGGATGGATGGGTCAGTGGATTGAGGGATGGATGGGTCAGTGGATTGAGGGATGGGCAGGTGCATGCTTCGGTATCCGCGTTATTTTTTGCTCCGGCATGGCAAGGTTCAAGGACTGACTCCGCAGGTGACGCGACACTTTGTCGACACGTCCACCTTATCCTACCAAGACCTATTCTCTTGTTGTAGGGTCCCTTGAGATTCCGTTTTAATTTTTACAATAAGAGCCTACAGAAACGTAGAATATGGCCTAGATCATGGTACTTTGATGCGGTTGTACCTGCCCAAATGCAGAGATACACACTGTTCCCCACAGGAAGAGAATGTCTCCTCTTGCCGACCGTCGCCTGCGTCTGCCACTGAAAGGAATTGATCTGAAAGCTCTATGCCAACAAGTCATCACGACCAAGACTTTCTCCAAGGTCTGAGACCGAGTGGGACGAAAGGCAGAAAACGTCCCTGTTACTGCGAAATGAGGTCTGGCCGTCTGGTCGGTTGACTCTTAGACTCATGGGTTCTACCATGTTTGCCTTGCAGATCTACCGCTGTGAACCAAACACGAAGTGACACAGGCATCGCTCTAGCATGGTTGGCTACTCAAGTACGCTAGATGACTCTTGGTGCATTCACACATTTGGTCACGCAGCAACGGCCAAACCTGCCGGATATGAGAGCTCTGAAGGCTTCTCCCAATATCGGCAACGCAACAGATGGATCAAAACAAGTCCTGCGTATTCAGCAGAGTCATACACATCTGAAACATGCAACCTGTAAAAACAAGCATCCTGCTCCTGGTGCGGGCTGGTTCGAGGGCGGAATGCCCAGGTCGTGCTCAACACTAACCATCCAGGAAATAATATCGGCGCACTTTCGCTAGACACGACATCGCAATGTAACTAGCCAGCGCAGTTCTATCTACATGTGTCTTATATATCTGAAGCCCTACATCAGGATGGACAGGGCTGCTTCAAAGATTAAACAGCCAAGCGCCTGTCTGCACTTCCTGTAGAAGTGCCAACAGCTCTTCCTCACTGCCATCTATACCCATCTGGACGACATTCGTCCCGACGGCAATCTTTGGAGCAAGGATCTCGGGTTCTCGGGTTTCGGAGTCCTCACCGAGCTTCCAGGTCAACTGTTGCGCCCGACGTCGGCTACCATGAGAAAGCCCATGAGAAGTGGAAGAGCCAAGCTCGGCGCGTACGAACCTGGCAGCTTCCTCGATGATCTCATCGGGAAGAGATGCATAGACCTTTGAAATCTCCTCCCGATCCTGGAGCTGGATGCCGTTACTGAAGATGCGCGGTGCATCCTTGTCCCAGATGGCCCGAAAGCCAAAACGTGCCAGGAAGTAAGCCAGATTCCATGCGAGTCCCTGGATGTTTCCAGTATTGACTACGGCATCGAAGACATGGTCCCTGTTCTGCCTCACTACGAGACTGTAGACTTTTTTGGCAGCAGAGTGGTCAACGAAATTGATGAAAGCAAGCTCGATGTTGCAGTCTGTGCGCTTGTCGAAAGGAACATAGAGAAAGTCTATCTGGCTAAGCTTGATCTTGTTCTCTCTTAGCCATTCCAAGATCCTCTGTGCGTCCCAATCTTCCGGCAAACGCCGCATCATCAGCGTAGTAGCCCCATCTTCCAACCCGCTTCTCTTCAAGGCACGGCGCATGGCCGATCCCCGACGAAAGCCACGACGTTGGCTCAAACCCGGCTCTACTCCCTATAGACCCCACAACCCTAGCATGTTCAGGATTCTCTAAGGGTTCTAGAATTGTAATGCTAGGACTATCTGTTTCGGACCGGGTGCTGCGGATAAGCTCAACGGCCAGGACCGAATTGAGCCACGATTCTGCGGTTATGGATGGTCACCATAATCCATCAGCACTCTATCGAAGTTGAAGGGAGGCTGTAGGTTTCCGTGCGCTACTTGCCATTTCGAAGAGTCTCGGCAGCTGTGTTGAGGGTCAAAGGGCCAAGCCAAAGCCCTGTGTGTCCTCATCCAAGTCCGCAATGGCTTGCACCAGGATTTTGAGCTTCCTCGAAACGAGGGCACCGGGATTGGGAGCTTCCTCGCCCCAATTGCTAGGGATATCAGTCACAAGTCATAAGCCTGAGAACGTCTGTCCGCGCTGGTTTTTGCTTTTGTTTATCTGTTTATGTTTCTATCTACTTGTCCATCTATCTATCTGTCTATTCTCGATCTATATGTCTATCTAGATGCTTGCATTTAACTGTTTGATTCATGTGTTTGTGTGTCTATGTCTTTATGCTCGTGTCGATGTACACAGCTGTACGTCTGTGTGCATGCAGGAATGTAAGTATGTGTGCATGTATGCATGCATGTATGTATGAAGTTATGTATGTACGTATGAGAACACTCTACATATGCTAACATGCATGATCATTCATGCATGGGAAGATGTGTTTACACATGCGTAGTTCTACAGGTATGGTATCTAAGCATATGTACATTATGCATGCATATGTATTGTACATGTACAAACACATGCACACATAAAAATGTAGAGACAGAGAGCGAGAGACTCGTTTCGCTGGCCTGCCCAAGGGAAACCGCCAAACAAGAATGAACCATAAACATAATCGAAAAATCCATGTAAGTATAACATAGGCACCAACACATAAAACAGAAGCGTAGGGACAAATGCAAATATATGTATACGTGCAGAAACACAAATAGTATACATGTACAGCATATACAAGTAA